CTGGCGGGAAAATGACATCACAAGGAAACCAGCTGTTTCTTGCAATTGCGCCAAATTCTCACCAATTCTGCTTTTAGTGTTCTTCGATTACTAGACCGGACGCTTCATCTGTTGCAGGACTTTACTTCTTCCTGAAAGCTTGAGACTTCATATTTTGTTGACTTACAAAACTAGCTTCCCTCCTCCAGCAAGATGAAAGCGAAAAAAAGTCGCAAATATAATGAGAATCAGGCGGAAAATGGAAACGAACTGTGAGGTCGCCACTGTAAAATATCTGTATCCGTCTCGATATTTTCATTATATTGTATTGATGAGGAAATGTTTCATATAGAAAGTCCGACCTAGAGCTTCTGTGTAAAAACTCAAAAAGATGATTTAATAATAACGTTGCATAAAATTAGAAATAAAATATTGGCATACAGAATGGTTTAAATAATGTCCCAAAAAGTATAATTAAAAAATTGTATATTATGTAATATTATTGTGTATTTTTGTGTGTTTGTTTTTTTTGGCTTCAATCAATGTGAGTAGAGATGAGCGAAGTATTCAAAAATTCGATTCGACTGATTCGGCGAATTCATGGAAAAATTTCGATTCGAGGTCGAATATATTCGCTGTGAATTTAACTTAAAAAAGGGCTGTTTCTAGGCTTCAGAGAGACTTAATATTAGTGCTGAACACTGTACCTTTAATTTAAATGCCCTTGGAGTCTGCTGGGGAAGAGAAATAATACTGTCAGTCAGTATGACATGCAGATGAGTGCCGTCGATCTTAGAATCACCCGCACACTTCACTCATTTGGGCAGTCACTGGGCCAAAACCAGAGTGTGGAGCCACAGTGTGGCGGTGGAGGCAGCAGCAATGGGAGGCCATAACAGCACCCTATGACAAAAATGGAAACCACCAGCAGCAGTGTGAGGAGACCTGAAAGTGGCACATGGCAGAGTGTGGCGATAGAGACAGCAGCAATGGGAGGCCGTACAGGGACCCATGACACACTCTGGACCTGGCAGCAGCATGAGGAGGCGGTACAGGGGCCCATGGCAGATTACGGGCCTGGCAGCAGCATGAGGAGTCGGTACGGGGGCCCATGGCAGATTACGGGCCTGGCAGCAGCAATGGGAGGCCGTACAGGGACCCATGACACACTCTGGACCTGGCAGCAGCATGGGGAGGCGGTACAGGGGCCCATGGGACAGATTACAGGCCTGGCAGCAGCAATGAGGAGTCGGTACGGGGGCCCATGACACACTCTGGACCTGGCAGCAGCATGAGGAGGCGGTATCAGGGGCGCATGACAGATTACGAGCCCTGGCAGCAGCAACTTGGACAGGAGGACCCATTCAGCTTCTGCAACCGTCTGGTGCGTGCTCGCAAACTGTTGTCTCTTGGAAACGGATTCCATAGAACTGACACAGCTGACGAATCCGTGAAGAGGAGTAGCAGGAGAACAGGAGCAATCTGAACGAGCATACAGGAATATGCAACAAGCTGACAACAGGGGCCCATGACAGATTACGGGCCTGGCAGCAGCATGAGGAGTCGGTACGGGGGCCCATGGCAGATTAGGGCCTGGCAGCAGCTATGGGAGGCCCGTAATCTGCCAGCACCCTATGACAAAAAAAATGGAACCCACCAGCAGTGTGAGGAGACCTGAAAGTGGCACATGGCAGAGTGTGGCGATGGAGACAGCAGCAATGGGAGGCCGTACAGGGACCCATGAGAGACTCTGGACCTGGCAGCAGCATGAGGAGGCGGTATAGGGGCCCATGGCAGATTAGGGGCCTGGCAGCAGCTATGGGAGGCCCGTAATCTGCCAGCACCCTATGACAAAAAATGGAATACACCAGCAGTGTGAGGAGACCTGAAAGTGGCACATGGCAGAGTGTGGCGATGGAGACAGCAGCAATGGGAGGCCGTACAGGACCCATGACACACTGTGGACCTGGCAGCAGCGTGAGGAGGCGGTACAGGGGCCCATGGCAGATTAGGGGGCCTGGCCGCAGCAATGTGAGGCCCGTAATCTGCCAGCATCCTATGACAAAAAAATGAACACACCAGCAGTGTGAGGAGACCTGAAAGTGGCACATGGCATGACACACTGTGGACCCAGCAGCCCTAAACCTGCGTGAGGACTGGCAGCGCATAGAGGAACAGGGGCCCATGGCAGATTAGGGGCCTGGCAGCAATGTGAGGCCCGTAATCTGCCAGCATCCTATGGACAAAATGAAACACACACCAGCAGTGTGAGGAGGACCTGAAAGTGGCACATGGCATGACAGCTGTGGAGCAGCGTCGAGGGAGGCGGTACAGGGGCCCATGGCAGATTAGGGGCCTGGCCGCAGCAATGTGAGGCCCGCCTCGTAATCTGCCAGCATCCTATGACAAAATGGAACCCAGCAGCAGTGAGGAGACCTGAAAGTGGCACATGGCAATGACACACTGTGGACCTGGCAGCAGCATGATGGGAGGCGGTAACGGAGGGGGCCATGGCAGATTAGTCTGGCCTGGCAGCAGCAATGGGAGGCGGTACAGGGACCCATGAGACAAACTGTGGACCTCTGCAGCAGCGTGAGGAGGCGGTACAAGGGGCCCATGGCAGATTAGGGGCCTGGCAGCAGCTATGGGAGGCCCTCACTAATCTGCCAGCACCCTATGACAAAATGGAACCAGTAGCAGCAGTGTGCGGAGACCTGAAAGTGGCACATGGGCAGGGGCATGATTCGTCCTGGGGATTTAGTCAGTTGTGCAGGAACTGGTGTTTGACTCCAATCCAGACTATCTCCACAGCCTGATTATGCCACAAACGTGAGTCATCTGGGTCACTTTTGTTGTGGGACAATCGTGTCATCCGCGGATCTACAAGATCTCCTGCCGCACTAAACACGGCGCTTAACGATGCCACGCTACTGTGGACATGACAATCCTTGTCAAGGGCAAAATTCTTGAGCTAGTTGGGGCAAAGTCCTCAAGTTTCGTTGCTCCAGTAGTCACATGGCCCCAAGGGGTTGTCTACCTCGGTTGGCAGGGAGGGTTGCTGTACCACAGGCTACCGCACCCTGACCAGCCATTTGTTAACAGCATTGTTCCAGGACGTGCAAGACAGAGGAAATGACGTCGTTCATCCCATAGTACTGCCGACTCAACGAATAGCGTGGCCTCCTCAAAGGCCGCTGAGCAAGCGGCAGGTGTCACGCATGAGCTGCCAATGGCTGACAATCTAAGTTACACAAGAAACTTAGTACCTTTAATACGCAAGTAACATCAGGAAATCGGTGATGGCCTTTCGCTGCTCGTAAAGGCGGTCTAACATGTGTAGGGTTGAATTCCACCTTGTTGCAACGTCGCAGATCAGGCGATGCTGTGGAATTCCGTTGTCTGCCGCTGCAGCTCAAGGAGGGTGGTGCTTTGCGCTGTAGGAATGGCTGAAAATGCATGCAAATTTTACGTGACATTTTAAGGATGTCTTGGCAGTGGGATGGTGGATTTTAGGAACCGCTTGACAACCAGATTGAACACGTGAGCCAATGCATGGCGCATGGCACAACCCTTCCTTGACGCAGAGCAGACACCATGTTCTTTCCGTTGTTGTGGTCAACATGGTTCTAATTTTCAGTTGCGCCGCTGAGACAGCCATCTGTCGATTTCTCTGTTTCATTACACTCAGAAGTTCCTCCCCTGTGTGACTACGTTCTGCCAAGGCATACCAGGTGCAGCACAGCGTGACACCGTTGTCTAGCGCCCTGCACATGTGATATGCTGGTCACTGTAATGGGACTTGGCACGGGGGTGGCGGCTGAGGACACGGCGGATTAGAAGAGGTGGTAGAGGCGGACATCTTTGCTGGACCAAGGACGTGCAAAATTCGTGGAGGCAAAAGCGGCGTGACCTGTCCAATTGCTGGTGCGGCTGTGCCGGCACCACGTTCACACCAGTGGGCCGTAAATGACATGTACTGTCCCTGACCGTAGTTACAGCTCCACACGTCGGCGCTGCGTGCACTTTGGCAGAGACCGGACATGCTCAAAGACTGGCCCACCATCTCTTCTACATGTGAATGCAAGGGCTGGCACTTGCCTTTTTTTTTATATTTGGCGAAGAAATGCCGGCTTGGCACTCTCCACCGCACCGGGCTCGGCACAAGCCATCATTTCTCGGAAAGGTGCTGAGTCCACCACTTGGAAAGGGAGGGACTGCAGCACCAGCAACTTGGACAGGAGGACGTTTCAGCTTCTGCACCGTCGGTGTGCGTGCTCGCAAACTGTTGTCTCTTGGAAACGGATTCCAAGAAAGTTGCTGACGGAATCCGTGAAGAGAGTAGCAGGAGAAGGAGCATCTGAACGAGCGGAAGATGCCAACGAGCGGACAACTCCCCTCAGCAGAGGTGTTGGAGCCTTGACTGGCTGATAGAGGGTGATTGACGTCGGGTGACGGGAGCAAGTAACGGAGCGGGTGATGGAGCGGGGGCTGGGGCAGGCAGAACCGCCGTATCTTTATCACGGTTTTCCCAGGCCACCGAATGGCGACGCTGCATATGCTGACGCAACGCTGTAGTCCCAACATGGGCCCCTGGCCACGCTTGACTTTCTGGCCACATAGTCGACATACGGCTACGTTTACTTCCTCGGGCGCTTGACGAAAAAATTGCCACACCGCCGAGTAGGAAACTTTGCCCCCGCTATCCTCCTCACTCGGCTGACTGCTACTTCCCCTCCGTGCGCACACCGGCACACTACTGGCCGTGGTGGTAGGCTGCAGTGGAGCTGGTGCTCTACTCCGTGGCCGTTTGCTCCACTGACACTGCTGCGACCCTGCTGCCTCCTGGGCAACCCACCGACTGTTTCGCTCGCTCGCTGCCAAGCTGGCACCTTTTTCTCCTGATGATGCGGAAGCAATTGTGCCTGATGACGACGAGGCTGCCAAGTGCGATCAACCTCCTCATCATCAAGCAATTCTGGGTCTCCGCCTCACTACTAGCCCCCTCGGCTGCGTGTGGTCAGGAGACAGACCTGTCTCTAGACCGGCTACCGAGCACTCTCCTCGCCAGTACTTCTTCGCCTGGGCTGCTGAAAAGGCGGATGTCTCCCCCGTTCCTGACCGCCCTCTGTTAGCTCTTCCTCACTTACAGTGGGCTGAGCCCACAGCATGCGATACTCGCTTGGTGAGGGAACACAAAAGGACAGGGGCAGGTAAGTAACGTGATTTCAGTGGGCTTGCTCCCGGGCCATGCCAACTAACGTTGTGTCTGAGTACCCACCGACCGTTGGCTGTAGTGTGTCTAGAGGTGACCTGTGAAGAGGAAGACGACCGCCCGAGCCAACCAATCAATGACGGCAGGGTTCTTGGTGGAGACACGACCGCTGTGTCTGTCACCTGGGTTAAACAATGGCCCTCTTGTGGACTAAGTGCTGCCTCGACCCCCATTCTCAAGCGTGGCCACGTCTTGCTCGCTCCTAAAACATTGCTGTCCCCTGGCCGAGTCCTCTGCATTTGTCTGACATGGAGCCCTTTAATTCAACGTTCTGAGTGGCCCTGAGTAACAGTTCTGTGGCCCTGAGTAACAATTCTGTGTCTGTCCCTGAGTAACAATTCTTGTCTGTGGCCCTGAGTAACAATTCTTCTGTGTCCCCTCAAGTAACAATTTCTGTTGTCCCTGAACTGTAAACACGTTTCTGTGGCCCTCAAGTAACGGTTCTGTCCCCTCAGTAACAATTCTGTGTCCCTGAGTAACAGTATTCAATTTCTGTAACGGTTTCAGTCCCTGAGTAAACAATTCTGTGTCCAACAACGTTCTGTGGCCTAAAAGTAACGGGTTCTGAGGCCCTATAGAAACGGTTCTGTGGCCTGTAAGTAACGTGCTTCTGTGTACACTCTCTAGTACCATTCTGTGCCCTCAGTAACATTTCCTGTGGCTTCTCCTGAAGTACCATTTCCCAGGGCCCATAACTAACTTTCGTCGCCCTCAGTGAGACAGTGTCATGTGTTTTGCCCCTCAGTAACAATTCTGTGTCTGCGCGAAGGTAACAATTCTGTGGCCCTAAGTCACAGTTCTCTGTGGACTTCAGTAAACAATCATCTGTTGTCTGTCTGCGACGTATCAATTCTTGTCTGTGACACATGGTGCGCAGATAACAATTCGGTGTGGCCCAAAGTAACGGTTCGGGGCCCTCAAAAATTCTGGCCCGAGTAACAATTCTGTGGCCCAAAAACTTTTTTTTTTCTGGGGCCCCTCAGTAACAATTCTGTTCCCTGAGTAACTTCTGTGGCCCTAAGTAACGGTTCTGTGGCCCTCAGTAACAATTCTGTGCCCCAGAAACAATTCGTGTCGCCCCCGAGTAAAATTCTGTGGCCCTAATAACGGTTCTGTCCCCTCAGTAACAATCTGTGTCCCTGATAAAAATTCTGTGGCCCTAAGTAAGTTCTGTGGCCCTCAAAACAATTCGTCCCAGTAAAACTTGGTCCCTGAACATTTTTGGGGGCCCTAAGTAACTTCTGGGGCCCCCCAAAAATTTTTGTGTCCCTGAGTAAAATTTGGGCCCCAAATTAAGGTTCTGTGGCCCTCAGTAACAATTCTGTGTCCCTGAGAAAAATTCTGGGGCCCCTAAGTAACTTCGGGGCCCTCATAACAATCTGTGCCCCTATAACA